AAGCAGTTACTTAAATTAATGGGTATACCATATGTTGATGTAAGTAAATTAAATAAGTTATAAGTACAAATAAGATCCTTATTGGTATAATATTTTTATTGGAAGGCTCCATGCGAAGCTGAAGCTCAATGTGCAGCTTTGGTAAAAGCTGGAAAAGTTTATGCAACTGCAACCGAAGATATGGATGCTCTTACTTTTGGATGCGATGTTTTATTGCGTCGTTTGACTTTCAGTGAAGCTAGAAAGATGCCTGTTCAAGAATTTCATTATGATAAAGTATTAGAGGGTTTAGAATTGAATAAGGATGAAGTAAAGTATTTCTATTATGATATTTTTTATTATTCAAATATTTTTTTAAATTAATTAATTGATTTGTTATTTCATATGAATTTTCAGTTTATTGACCTTTGCATTATGTTGGGTTGTGATTATACAAATAGTATCAAAGGAATAGGCCCTAAAAGAGCAATAGAATTGATCAAAGTGCATAAATCTCTTGAAACAATTATAGAAAAATTGGATACAAAAAAATATACTATACCAGAAGATTGGAATTATCAGCAAGCAAGATTATTATTTCAAAATCCAGATGTGGCAAGTACCGATGATATTGAGGTAAAATAATAGAAATGTAAAATTCATATTTTTCATATACATGATACTTCAAACAAGTTTTATTTCATTTCATAAGCTGAAATGGTCAGAACCAGATGAAGACGGTTTAGTGAAATTTTTATGCGGTGACAAACAATTTAATGAAGATCGTGTTAGAAGTGGTGCAAAAAAATTATTTAAAGCTCGTAACACAACAACTCAAGGTAGACTTGATTCATATTTTAAAGTATTACCAGTTACAAGTCCAAATCCACAAAAGCGTAAGGTAAATTTCTAAATCAATTAATTCGACTAAATATTAAATAATCAAGTCAATAATATAAATTTATATATATTAATAGGCGGAAGAAAAGAAAGGAACAACTAAAAAAGGTAAAACTGCTGGTAATAGCAAGTTCAAAGGAAAAGCAAAATGAAATGAAATAATTAATATGATAATGATTATTATATCTCAATATAAACGTTTTAAATTATACCTTTTTTTTTATGTCTAATATCTATTATCCATCTGGTAATAATTCATTCAATTAAAAACAATACATTTATATGATTTATTTATTTATTAAGTGTTCCAAATTTATATATATATCTACAATTTACATATTTTGTAAAGTATATCTCAATAATGGTTTAATAGTCTGATATAAGAGAATATCTATATCAATAAATGTAAACTTCCTTTTTTCAAGTATCTTCTTATTCGTTTCTTTTTTAATCTTACAATTTATTGTCTTTTTATCCCTTTTGCAATTATTATTTGTGCAAAGCAAATTTAAAGGAATAAAATGTGTTCTTATTTTTATATATTTATGTCATCAGTCTTAACTTTGGCAGCATTGTAATGATTATTTTTTTTTATATAATATAATTCGATAACATATGTAATGTTTTAATAAAAACAATTATTTTCAAATGACAATAATATGGAAATTAAAAAAATAGTAAGTTATACTACTAGATTAAAAGTAACATTTGATAAACAACAAATATTTTTGTTTAACAAATGAAGATAATCTATTTTTAAAATTTAATGATTGTACTTCCAATAGCTTCAGGATCTAATATATGATGTAATGCTTCTTCGATATTATGAGGTGCATAAACTCTATCAACAACAGGTTGTATTTCATCTGCATCAGTTAATTCTGATAATGCTTGTAAGTATTCTGCTTTTATTTTGGAACCTTCTTTCCATTGATGTATATTACAACCAAATATATACTAAAAACAATTAATAATAATTTAATAATAATAAATTTATATTATTTTATAATGATATAAATAATCATTATTTAAATACCTGCACCAATAATTTAATGCGTACACATCCAGAAAATATACTTCCTGATATAAATCCCAATGAATCTGATGTTAAATGTTCAGGCATTGTTGTCACGTAAGAACCATAAGGATGTAAATATTTCTTTAATACATGAGATTCCGTTGATGAACCACAGGTATAAAAAATTGCATTATATCTAAAAAATTTCGGTATTAATTTTTGATTACATTATAACAGTTTTTTTTTTATTATTATCATATCATACTTTTCATGCAATTCTAACTCCTTCTCAATATTTAATTCGTCTAATAATAAAACTTCATCAGCACCTAAAGCTCTCATTACAGGTACAGCATTTTTTCTAGATACTGTTACTACATGACCACCCCATAATTTTACAAGTTGAATTAAAATACATCCAACTGGAGTATTTCCTCCATATATAAGTACTCTGTAAAAATATTAGTTTAATTATTTTATTAAAAGTATGATAATCTTATAAATTTAATAGAGAAACTTAACATTTTTTTACCAAAATTATTTTGATTCAATTAAATCTCTTTTAATAATTACTTTTTCCATTACCTTTGTCCTTTTGCATTGCCTTCTTTAATAACAGACTTATTAACTAAAGCATCCCATGCCATGCAACCACTATAAGGAATGCTTGCAGCTATTTCATAAGTACATCGTTTAGGCCGTTTAACTGCTTGGCTTTCTGGTACAACTATATATTCTGCCATTGTACCAGGTGCCCATGAAGGTACAGCAAGAAATACTTCATCACCAATATCAAAATTAATAACTCTTTGTCCAATGTCTATAACTATACCTGAACAATCCCTACCTAATATTACTGGAATTTCTTTATACCTCTAAAAACAGAAAACTCAATATTGGAATAACATGCTACATTGAATATAAGAAAATTGAAAAATAACACGAAATCATTGAATACATATAATTAATATTTTCTTACTCCAGAATTTAGAAGTCTTCTATAAGTTTTCGAATAACCAGAACATATTTTTGTATCAACGACATTGACTGAAGCAGCTTTAACTTGTATCAATAAGTCATTAGATTTTTTAATCATTGGCATCTCTGCATCATCTATCATTGAAACACCCTATATTAAATATAGTGATATTTATACATGTATCTCTACATATCGAAGCTTTTGTTAATTATATATATATATATATTGTTTACAATATACCTCGATACCTATATAATGGTGACATATAATAGCTTTTATATGATGCATATGGTGGGAATAATAAATCCAATTCCTGCCTATGCTATAACCTATTAATGTACCTATAGTTATACCTGCTAGACAAAATATAATCTCTCTTCGTGTGACTGAAACAGATAGTTATTATTTAAAAAATAAATACATAAATAAATATATATATATATATCAGAAAATTATTGCAAATAATCTTTTATAAACATTTTCTTTTATTATATATTATATAAAAATTATGATGTTTTTAGGGTATAAATAAATAAATATCATACCTTCATTATTAAATATTCCTACTAGTTGTCGATAAAATTGTGTAGAATTAACATGAATAGAATAATATTGAAAACGTAACTGTTCCCAACATTTTTCAATATATATTATCAGATTGTGTATGATATCTTTTATTCGCTGTACATGTTGGTCTCTATATAACTCTTGAATGTATCTTTGACAATGTGTTAAGAACGTAGAAATCCATTGTTGTCCTTGTTGAATCACTAAAGATGTTTGAACCTTATCCCAAATTTCTTTTTAAATATTTTTATACTTCCAGATATGAGAAATATTTTTCTATTATATAATAATCATAATAATAATAATAATAACAATAATAATAATAATAATATATATTAATAATATATATGTATATATAATATATATATACATATATACATATATACATATATATTATCATTATAGAAATAAATATGAAAAAAATAAGTAAATAATATTATTTATTAAATTTGCAAATTATTACTTTTTTTCTTTTATTAGAAATTTAAATTTAATGTTACAAATTCAAATAAATAAAACTCATAAACTAAAAACGAGTTAAAGATAATATATTCAAAATAATATAAAATAATATTCCAAATTCATAATAATTCAAAAAACGTATAATTATGTCAAGTAATTTTAAATTAATAAATACATTTCAAAAATTGTTTTATAATGAAAGAAAAATACCTGTAATCTTTCTAGATGATTTGATATGCGAAAAGATATTTCGTCCATAATTTCGAGCTTATTTAACACAAAATTAGGAAATTTCTATTTTTTAATCTACGTTTAAACATAGTTGTAGATCAACGGGTAAAGTGGTACACCAATGTGATATAAATAAACGATTAACGCACTGCATATAACTCGAAATAGATATCAAGAATCTGTTTTAAAATGTAATACTTTCATATTCGTTGCTAATTGTATAATCTAGGTTCATGTATTAAACATTTAAGTTTCCGTAAAAAAAGAAAAAAAAAAGGAAAAAAAAGAAAATATATAATAAATGAATTTAAAACAATTTATTTAAATGAATCATTCGAGCTATTAAACTCTAATAAGATTAGTCAGGAAACATCAGCGCGTAGACTAATGTTTTTGATTATGATGTAAGGATTATTGTGCAACAGTATCACATGGTTTACCATCTCCATTTTTAAAATTATTCATGTTGTCTGAAATCTTTTTTGAAGCGTTTATGACTACAGCGACATTTACGGACAAAATATGAACTACAAAAGCGAGCAGGGAACACTATTACCATCATGCGTTTATCTTATCGATATAATATAAGTTTATTTATTATATCCCTCTCACGCATAAAGAACGATTGTTTTCTTATAGATTAAAGTAAATAGCGTTAATAGACTGACATTATCTTAATTTGTCATATTTATATCATTCTTTAATAATAATATTATCTTCAAGTGATCCGTACTAAATTACGATGTCGATATTATATATATATATAATAATAAATATAATTAAACATATGATAATTAGTATATTAATTTATGAATTTAAAGAAATTATCTTTAAATTTAATTATATCTTATTTATTTGTTTGTAGAAGTATTATTGGCAATTTATAGTGTTAGTACTTTAAGTCATTTAATCAGAATTACAATTGAAGGGATTTTTAAAAATACATTGAAAGATGCAGCCATTCATTCGATAGTATTTATACTACTATATTATACATAAAATATGTCATAAGTTACTATTGATCCAGATCTCACCACGTGAAGATTAATGCATCTGCAGATCCATAGGTTAACGATGACTTTATTCTAAAATTTACGTTCGCGAGATAATCTAATCAAATTTTCGAGCAAACAAAATGAATCTCGAAATTGGAATTTGAATCATGTCCGTTCTTTCTATCCTACTCGTATCCTCTCGTATAAAAATTTATAATAAATCGAGCCATTCGATAATACTTCGGACCCTCATTCAACTCTCAGATAGAATTTATCCCTCAATGATTCGCCGATGATTCCCTGGATGATCACTGGAAAAGAAGAAGAAAAGATGAAAAAAAAATAGAGAAAAAATATGAGATAGAAAAGAGAGCCGGAGACAGAAAAGAAAAGAGACGTAGGTTTACATTATGCTGTAAACAATAATCTCCATAAAGATCTACATCCATGGATCTACTCGAGATTTGTAGATAATAATTTATAAGAGTAGAAAAATAAATAGGAAAAATGGACAAGCATAAGTGGGATAGAAAAATATTCTGCACGTTTCTTTAAGGAATTATTTTAGAATTCTAGTATATTTAATTTTCATTTATCTATTCAACTATGATTAGCAATGTAAAATGTCAATTTTAAATCGATAGTATATATATTAATTGATAATATATGATAGCATACGTATATGATCTTTATAATGTTGCTAAGAATGTTGTAGTATTTAATTAGTATAGTTCATATACATTGTTCGAATGTTAGTAAAATAATTTTATTTGTTAATTATTCACTCCTGAGTTTGCAATTTTATGTTTGTCGGAAGATTAAATTGATATTATTTTATATTGATCGTGTTTTATGATTTTTGTAATGTTTCTAAGTATATTCTATTGTTTAAATATTAGTTAGTAGTTATTGCATGTATTTCGTACATTCTTTAAATGTTAGTAAAATAATCTTATTCATTAATTATTCCTTCTCGAATTCGCGATCTCATTGCGTGAAACTACTTGAAAAGAAATAAGGAAAAAAAAAATATATATATATAATATTAATTATATAAAAGAAAAAATTCTGAATTTAATTTGATTGAAGAAAAGCAAAAGAAAATGAAAAATTCTGGATACTGATCTAAAAAAATATTATTTTTTTTTTTTTTTTAAAGAAAGAAATATTATATTAATAACGCTTGGCAAAACTTAGAGAACTTGGCACATATCCCATCGTCCTTGTTTCAATTTCATGTGCATCTTTATTCAATGCACTATTAGTGATCCTTACAATTGTTATGTCTTATGCATTTCGTGACTATGACTTTAATATAGAAATAGATTTTATTAAAATAAAATTATGAATTTAATTGAACTTTAGAAAAGAGAAAATGTGCAAAATTTATATCTCGATTTTAATAATAAAAATGCATAAAATATGAAATAATTCTATTCGCGTACGCGTGACAATGTGGGATCGAAGACGGAACATTACGTCGTTTAAATTTTTCAAATTCCTACAACCCCTAAACCCATATCACTATAAGAATATTTTAAGTGATAACATGGTAAAATTAAAATACGATTAAGAGCTATTCTCATAAGTTTCTGATGAACCTTCGAAAATAACTCAGTAGTCTATAGTTACCCTTTTGAGCCACAATTTGTGAAGACCTTTTCGGTATATAGCCTCTTCTTTATTTCGTACCCTAATTTAATCGATTATCACTCAAAAACGACGAAATTTGATTCCAAATTCTAAGATATGGAAGAAAATCTTAATACAATTCTAACATATCTGAAAAATATAAATCTTATGTTTCTGAATAGAAATCGATTACTATCTTTTTAAGAGATATCTTTTCGCAACGTAGGACAAATTAGAATTAATATATTCATTGCTAAAAATCCTGAGCTAAAAATTCATTAATTTATCATATAGAACTACGGAATATGACTCTAAAACTCTCTTTGTATTTTAACAAATATTCTATTTGATTTTTCTCTTTCAAAAGCAATGATTCTATCGAAATTTCTTATTTATCAATTCAAATCGAATAAATATATTTAATTAATAGTGATTTAAAGATATAAATCAAACCTTTGAACGCTTCTTCTTACAAGCGACAATTTTAATTATTATAAAAAAATCATCCACCAATTTCACTTGTAATCCAGAGTATTATCCATCGCGAATATTTTCTTGCTCATTCTTTATTAAAACTTATGAATATCGATTCTTTACTATTATTGCGCGAGAAAAATATTTAAAAGTGCATTAAAATATTCATCAAAATCTCAAATAATTATAAACGCGTTTGAACAAGAGGATTCTATTTTGATCTAATAAATATATCAAAAAATAAGAAATCATTCACGAGTAAATCTTCGAAAAAATTTACTCGTGGTCATGCAATTCTCTTTAACTAATAATTACAATCAATCACTCGTACCGATTTGAATCTTTTGTCCTCGACATGATTGAGTAATAAAGGATTAAAAAATTTATTTACTACTTAAGAAGTTCTGCGATGGCTCCAAAACACTTGTCGATAATTTAGATTGAAATTCGAGGCGGAATGATTCGTAGGTGGTTGAAAATGAAGTAGATCGATATTGAAATTGAATGAGATTCTCTTCAGTGATGCACTGAATCTAATTAGCGCTAGTTATTTATTAATGAACTGTCACTGAATTTACTTCGCTAACTTTACTGTCTTTTATAAATACAATCTGTGCGATTGTTAAAAGAACAAAATACTTTGCGAACAAACACTGACTCTAATGACTGCGTTGCACGCAGTCGATGCAAAAAATACTTGTCGTTTAAATCGCAAAATGCGAACGAATAAACATTGCTTTTACTTGGCAATATTTTTATTTTAATGATAGGAATACTCGATTATTTCTAGTTATTTATTAATGAACTGTCACTGAATTTACTTCGCTAACTTTACTGTCTTTTATAAATACAATCTGTGCGATTGTTAAAAGAACAAAATACTTTGCGAACAAACACTGACTCTAATGACTGCGTTGCACGCAGTCGATGCAAAAAATACTTGTCGTTTAAATCGCAAAATGCGAACGAATAAACATTGCTTTTACTTGGCAATATTTTTATTTTAATGATAGGAATACTCGATTATTTCATTGTTATGAACGCGATTGCAATGAAGTTCTGAAACATAAAAATAAAAACAAAATTATTAGTGTCACTGTTATAATAAGAAACTGTATAAATTATAAAAAAAAATGTATGATATAAAAATATATTTATATAAATATTCGTTGATACTTGTAAGAGATATTCTGAGAAACATTTGATGTTTACTCGTCGAACTACAAAGGAGAACTGATCCGGTAATCGATCAAGTTAATAAAAAAATTATATATGTTTATATTAAATAACCGTACCGAGATTAAAATTATAAAATATTGAAATTTTATATTAAATTTATTTTAAGTTTCTCGCGCATTACCATCTTTTTAATGTTTGAGCGAATCTACTATTATTTAAATATTAATTTATTGTACTCCGTGTACATTAATTATCATATATCTGTAATAATTTCAGAGAAACATATGTATATATTAGTTGAAAAAAATTTAACCTATAAATTTAATTGTTCTTATGATTATTGTCATAATTTATTTTTTTTTTTTTTTTTTTTTTTTTTTTTTTTTTTTTTTTTTTTTTTTTTTTTTTTTTTTTTTTTTTTTTCATTGAAACAATATAAATTCATTCACTATACTAATTCATATATTTTTATGTATTTATTAATGATATCTATTTTATCATTGATAAGATGTTTTTATTAAGAATGCAGACTTTAAAAAAGAAATTAATTATTCATACATAAATTTTGCATAAAGAATTGTAAATTTTTCTTTGTAATATTTATTTTATATTATTTTTGAAAAAAAAATTGATTTGTATTATAAGCATTAGTAATTGGTATAATTATAATAATTGATCGATCCTTATTGATTTTTTATCATGTCAATTCTATTGTAGTTGACACTACACCCAAACATTAGCGGGACGTTTACGTTGATATTTTAATCATCGTTTTGACATTTAGTATTTTTTTTTTCTTTATAAAATTAAGAATGGGCGACTTCTTAGCTATTAATAATGTCGGTGGACAAACATTGTTACGATTAGTTTCTCGTGGAAATGCAATTATAGCAGAATTAATGCGTTTGAAGGATTATGTGCCACCAATTTTTAGGTTAGTTTTATACTTGTTTGGTATTAGATAATAAGTAAATATATAAATGTAATATTTATTTAATAGATCTATATGAGATAAAAAAAAATATATATATATATTATATATTAAATATAACGTGTAATTTTTATTCTTACAGTTTGGATACAAAACAAGTTATTCAAAAATATGGTTCGATCATAAATGATTTTTCATACTTTAAAGCAACCAGTACGTATGAAAAGAAAATTGAGGATGATCCAGTAAGTAATATTACAATTGTTTTAACAAATTATAATTTATTTATTGAAATTGTATTCTTAATAAATATTTCAATAAGAAACTTATCTGAGTATCGATGTTTAATTGTAATATTTTGATGAAGTATTTATTAACTTTGTTATATATATATATATATATATATATATATATATATATATATGTATATGTATATATAATAGTAAAGTATATTTACAGACACTTCAAGAAACTGATGAAGAAATAAGAAATAATTTTTCTGAATTATTAGCACGATTTTATCTGGCATTTGAAAGTATACACAAATATATAACAGATTTGAATTTTTATGTTAAAAAGTTAAATCAAGAAGATTATCAGTCTTCTGGTTCTGTTGAGTCGTTTGAAGATGGAAAACAATTAATGGTATAATTCTTTTTATTTTAATTAAATTAAATGGATTAAATAATGTTTTATATCAATTTGTATTTTCTTGAATTTGTATATTTTTAGTGTGAAGCAGTGTATTTATATGGTGTAATGTTGTTATTAGTAGATTATCATTTTGAAGGAAGAATTCGTGAATGTTTACTCGTATCTTATTACCGATATAATGCTCAGGAATCATCATCTACTAAAGTGGATGATATTTGCATGTTACTACGTTCAACGGGGTATAGTAAAATATCAGGAAAACGCCCAATTAATTATCCTGAAGATTATTTTAGGTATTGTTTTAGACTTTATAGTCTTTATTTATATGAAAAAATAAATTTATTTATATATATATATATATATATATATATTTATATATATATATATATATATATATATATGTATATATATATATATAAAATTTGTTATATATATATATATATATATATATATATATGTATATATAATTATATAAAATTTGTTATATATAGATATATATATATATATATATATATGTATATATAATTATATAAAATTTGTTATATATAGATATATATATATATATATAATAAGTATTATATAGTTTACAAATGTAAAATTATTTCGTAGGAGAATACCATTAGATGATTCATTAATAGAAGGAGCTGTTGGTTGCTTAAGATTTGGTGATCTATATAATCAAAGACCTGCTTTTCATAATCATCAATCAGAATATAGAAATGCAGCTCTTTCAACTCAAGCGTCAATGTTGGTTATAATTCTTTGTTTTAAACCGGAAATATTAAATACACAAACTGCAGTAATGAGAGAAATTGTAGATAAATTCTTTTCCGACAATTGGGTAATTAGTATTTACATGGGTATAATTATTAATTTAAAAGATTGGTGGTCACCATATAAAGCAGCAAGAACAGCTCTTAATAATAATCTTGAAACGTCTAATATTAAATCCATAGCTCAAAAGCATGGTCAAAGAATGGAGGTAAGCAAAATGTTATTAATAATTTAATTATAAAGATATTGTTTTAGAAGTTATACTTTACACTGTTGTCTTACCTTCACACTGTTAGTATCATATTCTAGGATTTGTTACGTGAAACTGAAGAAGTAGAATTAGCTGGCACTCTGGATGATAATGCAATAGGATCATTAGTGAATTTAGTACGAGATTGTAATGTAACATTACGCTGGATTTTATTACATACAACTTCTTTAAATTTATCAAAACGATCGCGTTCTTTTCAACAGCTTGTTATAACTGAAAGTAAATATACAGATATTAATTGTCTTCGTTTATTATTGAATACAGCACAAATTGAGCAAGATGTTAAACAGACATATAAAGAGGTTAATAAATTATTTAACATTTCTGATACATTGAGAAATATTGTATATTTATATAAAAATATTTTTTCTTTCAAATTTGTACAATTAATAATTATTTTTGTTATTAGTTACTAGTTGGAAAAGAAACTAAATGGCTTAGAGATAAAGAAGCTTGCGTTAAACGCATCATTGATTTAGCTCAGATATTTGGTGATAACAAATCTCTTGATGGTATTGAAAAAATTCAAGATTTGCATGCATGGTTTATGGAGATAAGTAAACATATTAATTCCTTACAACAAGAGGATAGCAGAAAAATTGTTCAACTATTACAGGCATTAGAATATGTGCAAGGTAAAATCTAAATTAAATTTTGGATTGATTAATTATGATTTTAATTTTTAATATGAAAGATATAATTGTGTCTTAATTCTAAATGATTTTAGAATTCCATCAATTGGAAAATAATTTACATGTATCTCAATATTTATCGGATACTCGTGAGATATTACATAATATGTTACGAACAGGAAATATTGCAGAAGATACTATAATAAATTTAAACATAGTAACAGATTGCAGTTATGCATGGTACATAATGGAAACTTTTACTGATGTTATACAATCTAGTATAAAAAAGAATCCTCCGACAGTCATTAAATTGAAAGCTTTATTTTTAAAAGTAAGAAAATATGTATATAAAAGAAAACAATAAGGACAATGTAACAATCGTAATATTTTCTTTTTAGATGGCTTCGGCTTTAGAGACGCCATTACTACGTATAAATCAAGCATGTAGTTCAGATTTATCATCTGTGTCTCAATATTACAGTAGAGAATTAGAAAGTTACGCTAGAAGAGTGTTGCAAATTATTCCTGAAACAGTGTTTGGTTTACTTGCTCAGATAGTACATTTAGAAACAAATGCTTTTAAAGAAATACCAACAAAATTACCCAAAGATAAATTAAAAGATTATGCCCAATTAGATGATAGATTACAGGTATTGAAAATTGTAAAATTTTTATAAATTCAATATTTTATTTTTTTCTGACACAAACATATACACACACACATACACACATATTTGTGTCATATATATTTATTTATATATGTAAAATGATAATGTTAATAATATCAAAAGCAATATTATGTATTTGTGTAGATGGCAAAATTGACTTATGCTGTGTCGGTCTTTACAAAAGGAGTACTATCTTTAAGAAGTGTTTCATTAGGTGTTTTAAGAGTGGACTCACATCGTCTTTTAGAAGATGGTATACGCCAAGAACTTGTAAAACAAGTTACTTTAGCCTTACAAAATGGTCTTATCTTTGATACCAAATCAAAGGTGTGTATAATATAGATTTATGTAACATTTTATATATTAGAAACATTATTATAATTATTACAATATGTAAATTATTTTAGGTAACATTACCTCAAAAATTAAAAAGTTTAGCTTCCATTATGGATGGATATCGTAAATCTTTTCAATATATTCAAGATTACATAAATATCAATAGTTTAAAAATATGGCACGAAGAAGTAAGTATCAATGGCTATTCCTCTAAGAAAATAATATAACTCCAATTTGTCTTATCCTGCTCTCATAAAAAAAAATTTCTTTTAGATTATTTATATTATAGATAGTGCAATTGAAGAAGAACAAAGAGGATCTTCTTGGATTCCTGGAAAAACCTGGAGATATTTTTCAAATGAGAAACATGTTTCATTAACAGAAAACAATTGTTTAACTTTTATTGGCAGGCTTACTCGTGAACTTATTCGTATTACTGATCCTAGGTAATATTAGAAAAATATAATAAAAATAAAATTAAATATATATATATATATATATATATATATATATAAAATATAATAATCTATATTGTACATAATTTGTAGAAATACTGTTTACATAGAGCATACACTTGCTTGGTATGACATCAAGACGCAAGTTGAAGTATTAAATTACAAAGTTTTTACAATGATATTAGATGCAATAGGTACTCCAGGATTAGCAGGCATGGATAAACTGATATCATTTTATATTGTGATTGAATTGGAAAATGTAATTAATTATATAGAGAAAGAAATGCGTAACAAACAATGGTCTTCTATAATAGATGAATGTTTAACAATTGTAAACGGTGTAGAAAATCCTAAAGGTATGACACAGTATGATTCAGAATAATAGTAAATATTTCTTTTAAAAATTATACTAATAATGTTATTATACATACGTAGCTATGATGACAAAATTGCAGACTGTCGTTGGTACATATGGAAATAAAATGTGGTTGCAAATATTAGATTGGATATTAAAGATAGGTCATTACCAAGTACTCAGAAGAAAAATAACATATGAATTAAATACTGCTTGTAAATTTGAAGCAAAACATATGGAAGCAGCATTGCAAACATTAAACACGTATGTTTATTATTATTATTATTATTATTATTATTATTATTATTATTATTATTATTATTATTATTATTATTATTATTATACAAATTATTAAGAAGTTATATATAAAATCTCACACACACACACATGTGTATATATATATGTATGCATGTATGTATATATATATACTAATCTTTTTTTTTTTTATATGTAAATCATAGTGCAATATTGTCCGAGATTAAATTGAATAATTTAAGTGACGAGAGGAAGATAAAAAAATCAGACGAAATTCAATTACTTCACGAGCTTAGTTTAAGATTAGATTGGGCTGGCATAAGTGATCCTCTTAATAAATCTTATATTAAACCTCCGCATGTAAATAACATTTCATTTGTAATGTTTCTATTTACTGTGTCGCAACTTGGCAAATTATATTATTGCAGAAATACAGGTATATATATAAATATATATATATATATATATATATATATATATATATAAAAATTAATATTCAAGTATTATTATTAAATATTAATAAAATTATATTTCTATATTAATTAATATTAATAATAATACATTGTTACAGCGAGTCTTTTAAGTAAAAAATCACAGGATCCTTTAGATGCTGTGGCATTTGCTATTGGAATACAAACTGTACTTCGCCAATTCCATATTTCTATTACATGTAATTATGTAAAATATATCTGTATGTATATACTTTCTCTTGTAACATTAGACAGGTAAGAAAATAAAAACAAATAAATATAAAGAATTAATTATCAATTAAAAATAATATTAATCAGTAAATATTTGTTTCAGTACAAAAGTTGGAAGCGAGACGGAAAGCGAATCAACAGCTAGTATACATTTTTTGGACCTTTTCGTCAAATATTCAGGCATTCCTCGATCATATGTATTTCACGAAATTCCAAATGTAATCCTAGATCATTGTCAAACCAAAGTCTTAAGATAATTATTTTAATCATACCTTTATATAACGTATCAATTAATTTATTGTTACATAAAGTATTGTATGTTAATTTAAAATGCATTTAATATGAATTTTTTGGGATAAACAAAAGAAAAAAAAAATATCATTTTGAAATTAAATTCTTTTATATATTCACTCTTGTGTTATTCTTTCTAATTATTATTTCCTCATTCGTGCCTAATTCATTAAAAACTTTACGTTTAAGCAGGAAAAGAAAAAGAAAAAATATAAGATAGACAAAGGCGAGAAAAGAAAATTTTCTATTTAATTGTTATCATTTTATCGTTTATTATATATATATAAAAAAAAGAAAAAAAAAAAAAAAGAAAATAGTATTTATTTTCCAATCGATTTCTTGAAGATAATTAAAAGAAGTGAAGATACACATACAGAGTTTCGCAAGCCGATCGTAGGCATTGCATTATACTTATTAGCATGTATTCTAATGTAAAATAGGACATATTAAGGGGCTAGACAATTACTATGTGTGATGAAATGAGAGTAGGCGGTTTATGGGGGTGACTGCAGACAAACGTCCATATACGCATTGGCGGCTAAGCTAGAAACTTGCGGCCTCCGGCGGTGGTTGCGATTGCGGCGGCACGATAGTGTCACATAAATCATAGTGATTAGATTAATCATGTAAAAAATCTAATTAATATTAATATCACAATTTCATTCAATTCATTTATAACAAATTCTTACCACTTAAATATTGTATTGTAATAATTTGGAAGATAAAAATTTAAATTTTATGCAAAAGGCGATGCACGGCGGCTGTTTTTGCGGCCGTTGAGACGCCGGTGTTGGCGGCTTCATACAAAAGCAGCCGAACTAGATCGAGAATTCAGTTCTCCTTTCGTGATACGCGTTATCAGAGATGACCTATCTAACTTGTCACAGCATCCTGCTGTATCTGTGTATTCCGGTATCTCGTTGATGTTACCAAAAAAAATTCATTTTTTTTCCTATATTTAGTAACGCGTTGTATTTTTACTTGTGTACACACGTTTCTTCCTTATTTTTATTCAGATCTTTTAGTAGAAAAAAAAAAAAACAAAAAGATAAAAGAAGATACAAAAAAAAAAAGAAGAAAAAGGAAGAAGAAAAAAATCAATAAATAAATCAAATCATTGATTCTGATTTAATAAAAAGTATACAGTTAAATATTATATATCATTTTTACTATAATTCTAATTGATTTAAGTTGATTAATACAACAAAATTAGAATGTGTTCTGTACGTAAGTGATCTTCAATGTATCCTTTTAATATTTACGTGTAAATAATATAATGAATTTTGTTTAGCATCTGGGTTATATGTATATGCATTTAATTATTTAAATTAATAATCTAAGGTGGTATGTATATATGTTTAATGTTAGGTAATCGAAAAATCTTGTAAGAAGTTCATATATTAATTCTGATCGAAAGAAATCATTTTGTTTATTTGAAATTTTACGTATGAATTAGATAAGAAAAAAGGAAAAATGTAAAACACATTAATAAAGGCAAAATGATTTCTTTTATTAACAAATGGTCTCTCTTCCCTTAATTAACGTTTCAATCAAGAAATGTTTTATCAGGAAACAAGGCGTGGTTCACCTTTATTAACACACATACACACACGCACAATATTAATTACATTTATTCCTTCGTTTTATATATATATAAATATATATATATATATATATATATATATATATATATATAAGTGGATATATATTAAATATAAATTATATGTTGGTTCGTAAAAATTAATAATAGAATAATATTATATATAAATATATACAGTTTCCGATTGTTTTAATTTTTCTAAAGGATAACTATCTTGCGAAAAAAAAAATTAACCAACCATGCGATTTGGATTAGTGATGGTTCTAATACTTTTCGGATTCATTTTGGCGGTGAATGGCTTGAAATTTCTAAGTTATAATACTCCGAATGATAAAAAACTACCGAGAGATAGAGAAATACGTGGTTATAGACC